GGCAGTGGATATGATCTGCCAGAGAAATCTGAGCAGGCCGGCATAGGATATGATCTGCCAGAGAAATCTGGGCAGGCCGGCAGTGGATATGATGTGCCAGAGAAATCTGAGCAGGCCGGCAGTGGATATGATGTGCCAGAGAAATCTGAGCAGGCCGGCAGTGGATATGATCTGCCAGAGAAATCTGAGCAGGCCGGCAGTGGATATGATCTGCCAGAGAAATTTGAGCAGGCCGGCAGTGGATATGATCTGCCAGAGAAATCTGAGCAGGCCGGCATAGGATATGATCTGCCAGAGAAATCTGAGCAGGCCGGCATAGGATATGATCTGCTAGAGAAATCTGAGCAGGCCGGCAGGGGATATGATGTGCCAGAGAAATCTGAGCTGGCCGGCAGTGGATATGATCTGCCAGAGAAATCTGAGCAGGCCGGCAGGGGATATGATCTGCCAGAGAAATCTGAGCAGGCCGGCAGGGGATATGATCTGCCAGAGAAATCTGAGCAGGCCGGTAGTGGATATCAACTGCCAAAGCAACTAAAAATACCGTTACCGTAATGGCTTCTGGTGCCAAAAATGTTACTTCTGTTTTACGGAAATGGTCTAAATTGAAATATGTAGGTTATAAATCTTCTGTCCGAAAGGGGGTTGGGGGGGGGGGGTCGGACATTAGAATATGAATATAGTTCATGGGTGGTGGCGCACCGGAAAAGGCGGGGCGGAAAAGGAGGGGGGGCTGATTGGGAATCTTGTCAAGCGTGTTGCTTGAATACATGTTTTGTTAAGTAACTTTAGTATCGTAGATGGGAAGTTTACGTACTATTAATATTTCACTCCTGAAGACTGTGCGTCCGGGTGAGCCATGCCTCTGGCACCCCCTCCTCCCCACATACACACACGCTAAGCCCCCACCCCCAGCCACTCTTCTCTAACTCCTGTGATTAGCTCTACAAATCAAGAAACAATGATTTCATAAAATAAGTTTACCACAAATCTGATGGACCGTTGCAGTTTAATACGCATTGTTTAACCACAACAAAAATGTGGTTTTAAAAAAAAAATATTTAAATACTAGATTGTAAGAAAGAGATGTGATAGCATGAATGGGTAGTTGACGCATCACTCGATGTGATGGCGGCCTGTGGGGACGGGCAGGGCTTCGCTAGATCTGTCTTCACAAGATCTTCACCACACCAGTAAGAGGAGCTGCGGGCTTGCTTGTTGCTTTTCCTTTTTTTTTTTTTTTTTTCTTTTTACTTCACCCTTAAACTGTAATAGCTCTCTTGTAAGATTGTAGGGGAAATTAGCTCACTTGTGAGGGTTTTTTTACCCGAATCTCATCTTGTCACTACACCATAGCATCACATGGCCTAACACTTACACTACCGGTACCCGAATCTCATCTTGTCACTACACCATAGCATCACATGGCCTAACACTTACACTACCGGTACTTACAGAAACATGAAAACATGACATTTTAGACTTTTGATTTTGAGATATTTTTTTTCTTCTCTAAAGTAGTTTCTATGTGTTGTTTTGCGTGTTGATTTTATATTTATCTTGCTGAACCAGCGCCAAGTATCATTGTGATGATTTCCGGTGGCCTGGACAGATGGGAATGTGCGCCCCCCCCCCCCAAAAACACACAAACCTAAGCCGTGGACCATTAAAAACCATCACCACGTGACTTTTCCCCCAGTCCAGTCATTAACCCCTTACCTCCGAGATCATGCACTTTCATTCACTGTCATTTGCTGTCATTCACTGTCATTCGCTGTCATTCACTGATAGTGAGAGCCATTTATACTGAAGAAAATAATGATGCCTTTTAAGGTCATCTTTTTAAAAAAAACGTTACTTTGCAGGCCAGCAGAGGATATGATCTGCCAGAGAAATATGAGCAGGCCGGCAGTGGATATGATCTGCCAGAGAAATTTGAGCAGGCCGGCAGTGGATATGATCTGCCAGAGAAATCTGAGCAGGCCGGCAGTGGATATGATCTGCCAGAGAAATTTGAGCAGGCTGGCAGTGGATATGATCTGCCAGAGAAATCTGAGCAGGCCGGCATAGGATATGATCTGCCAGAGAAATCTGAGCAGGCCGGCATAGGATATGATCTGCCAGAGAAATCTGAGCAGGCCGGCGGAGGATATGATGTGCCAGAGAAATCTGAGCAGGCCGGCAGAGGATATGATGTGCTAGAGAAATATGAGCAGGCCGGGAGTGGATATGATCTGCCAGAGAAATCTGAGCAGGCCGGCAG